TAGCATCAGCTTTACATCAATCAGTGATCAGAAATCAGAGTAAAATCTAGCATGTTCAACACCTCTCCTCCGTTACAGCCTTGATCTATTAATCAATCCAGCTTCCAGGCAGATTTTTGACCGCTGTCTGTTTACCACATCAGCTTGAAAAAAATAAATAAATAAATTGGCTGTTTATATGCTGTTTAAAATGAACAAACCCATCCCCCACGGTCCAACTAGCTTTAAATTTTACTGCATTTAAACATTAGCCCGCTCCTTTGTCTCCATGCCTCTGCATTCACATCTGCACCAACTGATGTTTTAATAGCTTATGTGGGGTGTGGCTTATAGCTGCACACTTGCATATAGCAGTTAAGCATTGGGGGATGGTAGGCAGATTATAATATCAGGACTTTTCGCCCAAACGTCTGAAGCAGCGGTATCTCACATGTAAACGCAGCATTTGTGTTCCATGTCTGCACTGAGGGATGACTACACATGCTTTATTGTTATGGCATGTAGTAAATGTTGAACTTTGAGCTTCCATCTTGGTAGCCACAGGAAGAGATTGTACAGAGACAAAATACAAAATTGCCCTGCTGCTTCCTGGCAGGCTTGCTTTTGATAAATTTAGGTTTCTCCTTTCCTTACTAACAGTATCCTTGTCGACTCTCTGCTGTACTAAGAAATAAATAATTCATTAGAAGAGTAAATGATTGCTATAAATGATTTATTATCATTACAAACAAAGAAGGATTTGCAGCCTTATACTAAAGTACTGGAGCACAGCAGCAGCAGCAAGCAACCAGAGGCATGTGTCACATGCTAATTTGAGCTCATGTATTGCTGGGGAGATTCAGGCAGGCGCTGAATTAACAGAAGATCAAAGCTCTACTTAATGGATTATTCTTTAATAGGTTGTGCATTTTGCTGGTTTGACACAGATTGAACGCCATCTACTTACCCAATCTTGGTCTTTTGCTTGGGCTTTGATGAAGGTACGATGCAGGCCTTCCTGGAGGCCTTCTCTTTGGTCCGGGCTTTGCCATTTCCTTTGTGCTCGCGCTCACGGTGAGTCTTGAACTGAGCAGAGGAGCTGGGGAAGCTCTCCGGGCTCATGACCCGTGGGATGTTCTTCTCCCCTCTTTGTCGCGCCTTGGCTATCGCCTCTGATATTATCCTATTGGCCTTCTCCTGCTTCTCATGCACAGTTGACTCCATCTGATGGTGCTTCCTCCTTGGCACCCTCTTCTCCGACGAGGAGCTGGAGGAGGATGAAGATGAGGAAGAAGACGACGAAGAGGAGGAGGAGGATGAAGGGCTGCTCTTCACTGTGGGGCTGAGGACCCGCACCTGACAACTGGAACCATTGGGGTTTTTTCGAGGCTAAAGGGAGACAGAAGAGAAGCGGATGAAGATAACCATTTTAATGTTTTTAAAAGTATATTTAATAAATACTACAAATATTATTTAAATTAGCCTTTTATTAATTATCTGAAAAAATATTTTAGACATGAAGAATGACAAACAAAACTGAACCACTATTATCCAAACAAAACAAAAAAACGGGTCATAACACGGATGATGAATGGCTTCAGATGTTCCAATCACCTCCACAGCTGAAACAGGACTGTCCTGCACAGAGTCTGGACCTAAACCTTATAGAATACCTTTGGGGATAGAGATGAGGCTGCAAATCTAGTCGTCTTCTTTTGGCAACAGTGACTTGAAAATTCAGCTGACAAGGAAAGTGGGGCGTGCATCAAGCAAAGGTCAAGAAGCTACAATAGGACTGAAACCTGTGATGGCCACGCTATGGATGGAGCCTCCATACATGGGTTGTGCAATCCCAACTCTAGTTTTCTTATCCATAATATTTACAGAATAGTTGTAGCGGTTGGTATGGAAACTGGGGTCAATCAACAAATTAGAGCGTATAGATTAAGAGTATGGAGACATTAAAGTTAATGTTAAAGACCGACATCATTGACTACATAGTTTACCTGGAGATTACCTACTGTCAAACATGTAGTTTGTGGTATCCATTACACCCCATTTGTGTATTAGTAGCAGATTATATAAAATGTATTTAAGTTGTGTATTTCTAAAGCAGATACAACACCTTGGCGGTAAACAATCTGACCAAAATAAATGACAAAGGATTTTTTCAAAGCCATTGACAAAACAGCAAAGGTACAACCTGGTAGACAGGTTATACCCAGAGTTGTCCCCTATCTGTTAGAGACATTTAGCCCTATAAGGCTAAACAAACATTTCAACATCAGTTGAATTCGGTTGTGCCCAGATCTAGTCCCTAAGGTCGGCATGTCTTCCATATTATCAGTGTGTGAGTGTGTGTGTGAATGGGTGAATGAATGTAGTGTAAAGCGCTTTGGTCAAGTCTCCTAACTTGAATAAAGGCGCTATATAAGTACATGCCATTTACCATTTACCATTATCCTGGTTCGAACCAACTATGTGATTCATTCAGTACCCAATGTCTGGGAAACTGAACCATTTTTAGCTAGCAGAGAAGTCAATAGATAGAGCAAATGTTTATCTTTACCATGAGACGTAGAACGATCTGACAGAGTGAGTCAGTAATTCTTGACAATTAGCCGCTCTTTTTGGCCCTTTGCCATTCTGTACCTTTGCAATTTTTCGTGCAATGGTACCAATAATTGGTTAGACAAGCAAGTATTTTTCCACTATTGTATTGTGCAATATAAAAAAAGCCGTTCGGCTTTGATAAGGGGTCATAATATCTCATGTTTTGTAAAAGAGTTAATAATACCAATAAAAGAGCAGATCGAATTAATTTGCCTGTAAGATATCATTATGTTTAAAAGAGAAATTAAACATTGTCCAATGGTTTGGGTACATTGATATAAACTGGCTTGTATATGGGCATAAAAATGAAAGGCAATTGCAATGTAAGGATAAAAAAAGGCGTTTTTTTTTTATAGTAAATTAACCCAAAGCAGTCACCAGCACCAAACTGTCCCCTTCAATATGAGATTATGAATGCTATATGGTTAGTTTTTATTATATATATATTGCATAAAATGTTTTATTAGTCACACATTACGACTGGGGGACGAAGGGAAAAAAATCATAATCCAGTGGATTAGAACCAGAATTTGATATAGCAGTCCAAGTGATCTCTGATAGGTGTTACTGATTATTCCCGGGAGGAAGGGGGGTTCAGGTTCTTGAAGCCAATATTGCTTTCCTTCCCACATTTACATAACAAATAAAAATGTAACACTAGCCTCAATTTATCCAAAAAAAAAAAAAAAAACATATTCTTTATATGTAGCAAATGCAATGGATTCACATGATGTAACCTCAAGTCATGGCTGCTAAAGACACTAATGAATCAAACAAGCAGGTATCAGCTAATGGCGATGTAGAAAAAATAAACAACTGTAACATTGACCCAAAATCAACGTCTCTAGTTCGGCTCGTTACCATATTGGGTTCAGTGATCCAACTAGGAATTGGAAACATAAGTGATAGTAAGAGCTTCTTCTTAAGGTAGCAGAAACCCTTTGGAGCTAAGCCAGACAGAAGAGCATGTTGCTGCCTCTTTCTTTGATGCTGTTGGTTGGAGGTGGACCAGTCCCACTTTGCCCGTTACTTGTTTCAACTCCAAGCTTAATCTAACTTAAACTAAAAACAAAAAACAGAAAAATAGAAGCTTTCTTACAGAGAATCGCTTTCAGATCAGGGGAACACCAGGTGACACCAATAGTCTGATGTAAATCCAGTTCTTTTGAGTTAGGCGTCTAAAGCATTTGCCCGTTGCAGCAGGTTACATTGAATCTTGCAGACATAAATAATCCAGCCTCTGTGATACATGATAATATGTGAATAATGGATGCCGTTACTGCAGTTATGCCCTGTTGTGGGCCTTCAGCCCAGAGGAAAGGGAACCCATAAATGAATGACCTGATCTAAAAATGTGTTTGTATGACTACATGGCTCAGGCGCGCCTAGTGGCTTTTTTTTTCCAACCCCCTCTCTACACTGCTAGAAAAATAAAGGAATTAGCTTAAACCATACTGACAAAGTAGGGGGAGGGAAATGAATGATTAGCAATTCCTCTGGAAGAAAGTATGGGGGAAGAAAACGCTTACAAGAGCTGCATTATAATTTTCACATGTGCTTCTCTGCTGAGGCTATTAGGAAGAAATTGACTGGATCAAGCTGGAATGTTTTCATTCAAGTTAATAAAAAAAAACAGAAGGAGGAGTTGAAAGTAATGCATAAAAAAAACACTAAGGAGGAGCAAAAAAAATTCCACAAAACGGGTTTCCATCAGCAAAGCTAGAGGCTGGGGGAAAGAAAATCTAAAATGCAGCAAAAGTGAGAGCGCTGCAGCTGTGTAATACATCTATAAATAACTGAAATTACAGCCTGCCAGCACTGCAGTGATTTAAATCTCTCTCGCAGCACGCAGTCCCGTGAAAAACGGCGAGGACCGACAGAGACCATGAAAAGGTAAAGTAAGCTCCATTTAGGTGGGACACCTTCCCCTCATTGCCCACCCCTCATTTCCACATGGAGCAGGCTCTCTGCTGACTGACAGGCTCAACTCGTGGAGGGCAAACACACAGACACACACACTGAAACTACAGAGCAGGACAGCTGTAGGCGCAGATCAACAGGAGAACGACAAAGTGATGTGGGACATGAAAGGCTGAAGAGGGGCTGGGGAAATCAGTCGAATCCACTGGGTCTTCATTATGTCACACGGTAGAAAGAATGAGTGGAAAGAGGAACAGAAAGAAAAAAAATTAAAAAAATTCAGCAATGAGTTCAAGATGGCGGCAGTGCAGCATGAGCCAGTAGCAGAGGAGGTTGTTCAGTTCCTGCCGGGCCCCTCCTCCTCCCCCCTCGTTCCTCCTCCCTCTGAGAGCAGCTCACTTACCCTTCCTCTTGGCCTCTTCACTGTAGACATGTTGAGTTTTTTTTTCTCCTTCCTCTTTGCTCCCCCTCTCCAGCCGGCTAACAAAAGCCTTGCCCTTTCACCGTGTTCCTGCTCTCTCTGTTGCTCACCAACTCCTTCTCTTCCAAATACTCCTCTTTTTTCCCCAACAGTCCGGTTTCTGTCACTCTTCCTTGAGCTTAGTGGTGTTCCCCCCTCCCCTGCCCTCCCCTCCCTCACTTGCTTGTTCCTCGTTTTCCTCCCCTCCTCCTCCTCCTCCTTTCCCGGTCAGCTCGTCTCCTCCGGCGAGAGTGAGCGCTATGCTGGAACCGTTCCGTCGCCTCCTCCCCCAGCGGGCAGGGCTCAAGAGGAGCGCATGGGGAGCTCTCTCTCTCTTTCTCTCTTCCTCCCTCTTTCGTCTCCTCACAGGGTGATGAGGGAGCAGCGCTGTTGGCGGTAGAGGAGGTGAGTGACAGTCCAGGAAGCTCTCATTCTGCTGCTGCGTGCCGTTTCACCGTAGTCCGGCTTCAGCCTTTCCTCTCTCTCTCTTGTTTGTGTGTGTCAGAGTTGCCTTACCCAGCCGCCTCTCTCCTCCCCCCCACATTGAGTCCTCTTTCCTCTCGTGAGTGTGGTCTAGGTGCCTCTCCGGCTCCTCTTAATTCTCCCCGTTCACCATTTCTGCCTTGCCGCCTTCCTGTTATCTTCTCTCCTCGTCTCCTTCAGCAGCCAGATGAAGGTAGGTTTCCCCTCTTATTGCTTACAGAAAAGGCTTTGTCTGACCTTTAGCGGTTGTTTGGTGTTGTTGGTTTTTCCCCCTCTCCTGTCCTCCCTATACTTGTCCCTTTCCCGGTCCTTTTCCCGTTGTTCTTCTCTCCGCTCGGATGCCGTGCGCGTACAGAGCTTAAGTCTCAGGCAACCGGAGCCGTGGAAAATGAAAGCACAAAGAAGCAAAATGCATCAGCATGAATATTAGAGATGTCGTTAAAACCCAGACTCGTTTTTCTCTCGCTCACTCACTCGCCCTCTCTCTCTCTCTCTCTCTCTCTCTTTGTGAGGAAGTAGGCCAGCAGATGGTGCTAGCAGTTATTACATTAACTTTCTCAACTTAACCCCCAAAGCACTGGATTTTGTCACACGTTTTAGATCGGCAGAATTGGAGGCTTGTTGAGTGGCTTCTGCATAAAATACACTGATTTACTCAAGCATCAGTCAAACATGCAACTAAACAAGCTCCCGAAAGGAGGAATGGAATCCAGGCTGGCGCTTTGACAAGGTCACAGGTGGGTCAATATGCAGCAATGATGAAGAAGAAGGTTTACAAAGGAAGGCAGGATGAGCTGGACAACTTGGATCAAAGCTCAACGACAGAACATAATCTGAGAGAACATGAACATCTTTGGGGAACCAATGACACCACCGCCAAGCAGCCATGTGAACCAGCTCACACATGAGCTGAAATCAGCTGCAACACTCAGCACTGCCATGTGCATCCAGCTCGCGACATCAAGCACGCTAGGTCTAAGAAAATAAAACATTTGAAATGAGATAAACATGTCATTTTATTTCAACGAATAGAGATTTTTTTTTTTAAAGTGCAGTAACACTCTTTTGGGCTTTACTGGAAATTTAAATATAATCATTTTGTTACTTTCCCCATAATGGCAGCCCTCTTCTCCCCAAGGGGATGAGTTAAATGCAGAATTCATTTCATTGCTCTGTACTTATGACATGGTAATGACAATAAAAAAAAGCTGGAAAAAAATAAGTATCTGTTTATAAAGTTTGACTGATCATTTAGCTAATCAGAAAGAGTTCAGAGCACATAGGATTGCTGACAATTGGGAGAAATATTAATATGCCTGGGAAGAAAATTAAAATCTAAAGTATAGATAAACAGTCCCTTATGAATATCTCTAACTGTAATAAGTTATTCACTGTTTTGTAGAGCAGGTATCATTCCTTAAGTAATACATATTCCATCAAAATTAATTGTTGACGCCTGACTTATTAAGATCTATTCAACTTCGAACTCTAGGAACAGGGGATTGTGGGTAGTTAGCATAAACTGAATGGAAGCTATTAATTCAGGAATGTTAATAGATCCTTTGTCCAAGCCTTTAAATCTTATCTTATATTTGCATCCAACTCGACAGACATAGTGGCACCATGATGCAAACGATCCTCACAGCAGGAAGATGAAAAAAGCATCTACGGTAGCTGAATCCATGCATGTGTGCTTGCAACACTCTGATTTAAAGTGATTGGTGGTAACATGAGGTTAAAAGCTGAGCTCATCCTTCATTAAGTCAGTCAGTCTGACCACAGACAGCTGATTCAAGACGGTTAATGAAAACCAAAAACAACACAGAGGCAAATCAAAGAGTTTGGCCAGGAATAACTTAAATGTTGGCTTATGTAGTTTCCACCTTTTTGGTTCCATTGTAAGTTTGCTCAGATAAAGTGTGAAATGTGTGGGTGACCATATGCAGGTTCTAACACCTTATGGGTTTAGGTTACTAATAATAAGGATGTTGTGGACAAGAGTGCTTCTGGAGGCTGTTGCAGAACCCCTCTGTGGTTTGTGTCGCTTCATGTCTCTCTGCTTTCTATCTCTTACAGACTTGGAGACGGTTTCCTTGAATGAAGGTAGCGGCTGCTTTCGAACTTTCAGCAGCGCTGGCAGTAGTCGGCTTTGTACCGACCTGCCAAATCCTTGGAGTTTGGACTGTAAAGCAGAGGACATGCTTACAGGGAAGCTGAGCGGGACGGCCCGTCCCAATTCCACTGTCAAGCTGCCCAAAAGGGTGAAGTACCTGGAGATGGGTTGAAAACATGCAGGGCAGAAGTAGAATAGCCTCAAGACTCTCTTCTTGTCCCCATAAATAAATGAATGAATAAATAAATAACAGTCAAACAGCATCTCTCCCGTCTGAGTGCTGAAACCAAACAGGAGGTGAATAACCTCTGCTATCTTAGTTAAAAAAAAACAGGTTAAATTCCCTCCTTTGTCTTTTAGTTATTTTATAAAAAAAATATTTGCTCTCATTGGAGAAAAAAATAATCAGAAAAAGGAGCAACAGTCAACTTAATAAAGCTCAGACTTCGAATGTCAAATGGCACGAAGCCACAGCTCCCTGGCGACTAGACAGTTAATATGCAAACGAGGCTGGCAGCTCTCTGTGAGAGGGAGTGGCTTCCTTTTAGGCCAGATGAGACGGTGGAGAGGAAGAAGAGGGGAGGGGAGGAGGAGGAGGAGGAGGAAGGGGAGTGAAAGGCAGTGACGGGGAAAGGAAGTGGGTTATAAAGGGAGAAAAAAAAAAAGAACTGCTCTTCCCGCCCAGGGAGGGAGAGCGGCTGCAAAGATACAGGTGTCCGTCTCTAAAGACCATCTCACCCCCATCAAATACTATTAGTGAAGCACGGTTATTACAAGGAAGAGTCATCTCTCTCCCTCTCTCTCACTAATCATTATGGAAATGAAAGCAGAGAGCAAGCAGCGAGTTGACCGGAGCCTACAAGATGGCAAGTTCATAACCAAGCTTCAGGGCAAACACGAGATGAAATCACTACTCAGGAGAGAAAGATGATGTTTCTCAGTGTTACTGAGAGCACCATCGATGGTTAACTGAATGGGAGCGAGGCGTTAGATCCATCATGGACGGCAGCCAACAATGGACGTTTGATCTGGCAAATGGCTTCTTCAGATTACTGCTTCCACAGTGAAGGGGGGAAACATCCTTTAGGGCAGATATCACTGCTCACATTGCTTGATGACCCTCCTGAGGTGCACTTTAGCCACTGAATTAACTCAAGGCCAAGCCTGGCTGCTATGAGCATTATTTTTATCGTTCAAAGCAGGTTTTGACTTTAGAAAATGAGCATTTTTATAACAGTTAAAAGCCAAATATTTCAATAAAAGTGCATTTTAACTCTGCTACCCAGAGATAATTTCTGGCCTTCCACAGTGTTACATAAACAGGATTCTTATGTAAATTAAATGTGCAGTTGTGAATAGGGTAACAGTAGGTTTGAAAGTGACTCCTCTTCATTAAAAGCCGAAATTTTAAACAACAAAACAACCAATTATTGTGGTACAACAATCATGCTTTGAAACTTGCATAAAGTCACTTTGACACCTATAAAAACTTATAAGGGTAAAATTTTATGAAAAGCTGATTCTATATTGTTTCATATCACAGTAAAGGAACAAAGTGACTTTAACATCAGAAAATTCTGTATCAGTTCCTGTTTTTTGGTTTATTTTTATATTTGCTTACTTTCACACTTTAAATTAGTTAATAATATATAAACCTGGGGAGCTGAGATTGTTTGACTGAAAAAATATTTATTTACACTTCTGGTTTAAATCGAATAATGGCATTGTCCTCTTCTCTTCCATCCTGGTCTCAGGCTGAGAGTAAACTGACATTATAACAGTGAATAAAAACATGGTGGAATCACAAATTTCAGTTGAAAAAAAAGTTAATTGCTAGTTAATCGGTTTAGGGTAGAAGTTTACAGAAAGAGTATTTAACCAGTAGGAAATATTTCACACCCTGCCGTCACAAACTACACAGCTATGGTTCTGGTTAGGTCTGTGTGATAAGATTGAATAATGCATCACCATATAAGTGTCATGTAGGAGATATATATAATTATAGATTGTTTTTAACCTACTTTTAATAAAGGGGAAGGAAAAAAGGCTAAATTTAAATTGTAACTATAGTTAAACATAACCTTTAAAAACAGGTCAGCTCTACCACCATGCTTTGCTTTGCTGCGAGAGGTTGAGAGGGTAAATCCTTCCCTCCCAGAATGCAATGGGGTTCTGAATCAGATTTCAGTGAAATTAGTCTCTTCTACTGATATTAATGTATTGTTATTTTATGGTTAATGTTTTATTGCACAGTTCTTATTCAGTTCTGTTCAGAAAGATTTACTTCCCTTCCAGAGCAGATTTCTGGGGTACAATTCTACTCCAGTGAATCATTAATAGCCACAATTTCTGTAATGGAAACAAAAGAGCTAGAAAAAGAGCCCCAGATTATATTCCTGCAGGGGAAACGCCTCAAAATGATCAAACCCAAATCAACAAGCATCAATCAGCTGTATTTACAGGTTATTTCACACCAGCTAATAAACTAAGAAAAAGTGGGATTCTGCCTTATCTAATAATTAGTTTATGATCTTTAACTGAAGAACATTAACCAAACAGTCTCTAACAAGATTTAACACTCAAGAGGAAGCTTGGACACCTCCAGGCTGCCAACAAATTGGTTAAATAACAGCTTTTCTAAGACATGTTGATCAGAGCTTATTTGTTTACATATGAAGTCAAAAGGAGAAGGTTGCAGTAACAGTTGCTTAATAAAGCTCTTCACTTTGACCACAAAAATTGATAAAAAAAAAACAACACATTTCTGTTCAAGTGTTACTCAGAACAGATCTGACCTCTGAGGTTTAACACAAAAAATAAATAATTACCCGACATCAGATGAATAACCCATAAAAAAAAAGTCATACCTATTCATTAAACAATCAAGGTGTCTAGGTGTAGGAAGAAAAATAACAATAAACAGCCTTGTTAATTAGTCCAGCGGCTAAAGGCCAGTTTGCAAGTCAGAGCTGAGAGTCTGGCAGCAGCTGCGGAGCTGATAAATGAAAGGAGACATGATGCACAGTGATGCTTCCTCAACCAATTAAAAACAGCACCATGCATTAATGATCTTTGGTTCAGGGTCAAGAGTAAAACTAGCTAGGCTGAGTGTGCTGCCCTGAGGGAAGGCTGCTGAAAGTATAACAGAGCACAGTTACTGTAGTCTGGCTGCGTGTGCTACGACAGGACGCCAACTAGCTGACGGCATGAAATGTGTGCAATTCACAGCAGCCGACTGCTGCCTCAGATGGGTCAGATGGGTTCATGGCATCTCAGCTACTTTCCATCAGTGATGCAGAGGGTTTTTCTGCTCTTGCAATAATAAAAAACATAACTTAGTAATTAAGTCAAAGGAAGAGCTGAACAGAATAAAGCCCCTGGGTAATGTGAGGAGTGTTAATGTGACCAACAGAGCTTAGTGATGCAACCCTTCATACATGTTTCCAGTATTGCACGTCTGGTTTGCCTGGACAATACCCATCGGTGGGCAGTGTGCAAAGTTCAAATCAGACAAATGCGCTTGTTTTCAACTGGAGTGCTGCCTGTTGTTTTGTGCTGCATTTTGACATTTGCAATAAAAACCCAGACAAAAACACACCTGTCTAACACAGACAGTCAATACACTTAACTGGGGAAATGTTCTATTTTAAATCATACTTTAGTTAACCAACTGGTTAAGCAACAGCAAGTACAACTCTGATTTATTTGCAAAGAACAGGGAGTCAGTCGGGTTTTACAAACTCATCCTTTAAGCCTGTTGCCACACAGAGAGACAAACTGACTGACTTACTGCTCTATTTAAACAAGAGAACATGGAGCTATACCTAGAAATGCACCGATCTAGTCTGACCTGCTGATTCACATTTCCCCCAGAATATATCAGACATAAGCTCGAAAAAAGGGCTCCTTGATGAAGGAGTTACAAGATGTGGGGTCTGATTTTCCAGACCTACCAACCAGAGCCTATTAGGGGATACTCTCTGCTACCAGTGGCAGTCTTCAAAAGGCCTCCTTGCTAAGTTAGTGAATAGAGACTGAAATTTTGTTTTCTTAAGGAACTAATGAATGAAGACCCCACACAGTGAAACGATTCCATTACAGGAAGCAGCCAAGGCCTGGCTGAGCGTCAACCAGGCGCTGAGGCTGAGGAGAGAAAGCAGTTATTCTAACCAGAGCATTTGCTCTTCAAGGGTGAGCTGCTAATAAGCATACATTACATATAAAAGAAAAAGCTATGCCTTAAATCAGATGTTTCACTCTGATGTGGCAATAAGGTTAAATATGAAAACTAACTTGATCAAATGATGTTTTAGTTTTCTTTAGTTAAGCTGAAATACAGATCTACTGATGATCACCACGAGTCTTAGTCTCGAATCACTTTAAGTTCATTTATGATTATAGCTAACAGCTGAAAAAGAAAGAGGAAAATACATTTTCTAAAAACAAAAAGGTTTCCTTTTAGGCATGTTGTAGTTCAAGCAATTATGGGGAAATCTGCTGACACAATAGTTCTGCAGTAGTCATTATCACTCTCCACAAGGCGGATATGCCATAAAGGTCATTGCTTAGGAAGCTGGCAGTACAGAACTCTACATCCGAACACATTAGGAGAAAGTTGAGTCGAAGAAAAAATGTTGTAGAAAAAGATGCAAAGACAAGAACTACAACAACAACCTTTTTTGGTCACATCAAATGTAAAATTTCTAGCATCTTTTAGAATTTGTAAAGTGGTGATGCCACAGTTATATCCAAAGTTATCACAACGCTCTTTTAGAGCGCTTCACCTTCCCTCCTGCTTATAAACTTCTCTGATGCCAATTTCCTCCAGCAGGACTTGGCATCTGCCCAGATCGGCAATACCTGCTTTAAAGACCACAGCGTGGCTGACTTATTGGCCAGAGCTTCCAGTGACCTAAAGCTCAGTTCTTAATGTGCAATTATCAGCTGTGTGAGCCAGAATATTTTGTCCTATAAGAAAATCCTCGGTAATGATCGGTGCTCTGTGGTTATTCAGTGGGGCAGATGCACCACAGCTGATTCAGCTCCCTCCAAACCAAAGCTGCAGTGACTGGCACTTAAAGCTAGTCCTAATAATAATCAACACTTCCCTCTCATGCCCATTCCAGTCCTGCCCCGTACTACAATAATAGAGCAAATTGACGCCCCTTGATTGCTGTCCATCTCCATTAAGATGCCTCTTTGTTTTATATTCTATATATTGTAGACCTTTAGAATACAGTTGGTCTCTGAACAAGGGGAAACT